ACGAGTATTCCTGTCCAGTTGCATCAATTACCACACGTGAATTTGAGTCGATAACAAGTGGAGATTTGGGCCGTTTACCTCGCTGGCGATTCGTTCCGGGGACATGTAGGTGAGCGTTCCCACAAACGTCGTGGCTTTTGCCATCGAGTTTCCCATTTCTCGAACGATCCCAAAGTCCGAGACTTTGACGTCGCCGAAGTGGTTGATGAGCAAGTTGCTGGGTTTAATGTCGCGATGGAGTTGGTGTGTGCTGTGGAGAAACGCGAGTCCTTTAAGGACGCGGAACGAGATGTTGGCTAGCACCACCTCACTGGTACATCCTCCTGTATCGACGATGTCTTGGAGAGATCCACCATCCATGTACTCGACTACAATCGATACATTACCCTCGTTCGGATTCATGAAGGCGTCGTACAGACACACGAGCTCCGGACAAGCCACAGTTTGTCGTGCCGACTCGGAAGCGTCAGTATCCGGCAAAGTAGAGAGATTGTTGTACAGAGCTTTAAGCTCCGCGATGAGTTGATGCCGCTTTTCGTACTCAAAGACAGGGATCACTTTAACTGCCACAAGCATCAGAGACGGAACATGAAGAGCTTTATGTACCACGCCACTCGCTCCTCGACCAAGAACACCGAGCTTGACCAAGTGCTTCTTCGTATGCTGCTGTCGTCTGTCGGATTGAGTACTCGGAACCCCATCCGAATCGCGATCAGGAGAGCGAGTGAGTCCGGTCTGTTTGATCTGGAACCCCACAGCATCAAAGGTTCCCGACGCCGACAAGTCGTACGATTTCTCCAATCGATCGGTACTGGCCGTGTGAAGATCTAGTTGGAAATCGGCCCCAAGGCCTTGAACGAAGTTGCGCTGGATGCCTCGCTTTCCAGAAGACGAGAACGTTGGTGACGACGAAGAGCCTGGTCTTAACATGAAGCCACTGGGATCCGAATGCTTCGGACTGCCTGCTTGACGACCTGCTCCCTGAGCTGGCGGACAAGCAGCGTTAACCTCTATATGTAGATCCGAAATCTCCAACTTGATCTGAGCAGGACGTGGACGTCCAGTGGGTGCAAACGCCGTGTCACTACTCTTTTTCTTCTCAGCGACTTTAGGCCTTCGACTTTCCTCTGCTTCCTCCTCTATGTCTGTCCGCATGGATCGAATACGCCTCATATCGTTGGCTAAAGACTGCACACTGCGTGCTGCGTGTATAGCAGGATCTCCGGGATGGTCCATCTTGCTCTCAGACGAATCTGCTGGACGGTGTCGATCAAAAATTCGGACTTCGGGCTGCCTAAGCTTGGACTCTTTCATGTCGTCTGCAAGGTGTGATGCACTGCAGAAAAAAGTAAAAACTAAATCTTCATAAGGATTTTTTTTTCTTAGCATACGTTCGTCTCTCATCCGTCGAAGGATCTGAAGAGTCCTACAGTGAATAACAATGCAGAGTAAGGAGGAGAACTAGATGCTGGAAGTGTACTGTAGGCCCGTACCTTAGACTCAGCCTTGCTCTTGGTCGCCTGTCATACCCATGTTATATAAGAAATTCTTTACCGAGAACACTCAAGACATATCACACCTGCGGCTTGGCCTCCCATTGCTCGTCACTCGTTTTCATGTTCAACGGCAAAGAAGAATTGATATATGACAAAGACATTTGTGCACTTAGGTCGTTACGTTCGAAGCGACGCGAAAGATTCCAATTCAAACGGCATTCTACTATTGAGCAAGTTGAAGTTGTCACAGCTGTAGCATACGCCGCAGCTCAGCGACCCGATCTCGAGGATATGGCGGGTGGTGGGCGACGAAGGCCTCGATAGCGGCTTTCCTAGCGCTCAGCTCCTTCTCAACGACGTAAAGATCCTGCACGCGCTGCTTCACTGCAGCCTTAAAGTCTTTGGGTTTGGGCATCTTGCCAGTGTGCACAGCTTGCTTGATGTCGACTATTGCGAACGGGATCTGCTTCTTGACGAACAGCTTACCGTTCTTGGTCTCCAGCCACTCGTGTGCTGCAGTTGCAGCGGCTTCCACGTGTGTGTCCACGTGCTGCTGCTCTTGCGCTTTGCGGCTTCTCTCCGCGCCCTCGATGGCCTCACGCCAGAGCTTATCCGCTTGAGGAACTAGCCGCTCCGATAATTCCAGCACAGCGGCCAGTTGCTCTTGATCATACGCAGAGTCCTCAGCTCGAACGAGATCCTCGTGGCGTCGGATTCGAAGCATTTTAAGGCGTAAATTACACGTCGAGTTAACACCGACCAGTAGTTCGACCACCGTGAGAGTGGAGAGACAACGATTTCGATCCAGTTGCAGCTTGGCAACGCTAACAGGCTGCAGACAGCATGACATTAGGACCAAGAGCTTAGGAAATTGTGTGTGTTTTTTTTTCGGTCTACTTACTGTCTGTCGCTTGTAGTTTTCTGTGGATAGAGCGACAACCACAGCGTCTGTGTGTTTTAAGAGAAATCGAAGTAGCAACACTTGCGAGGTTCGAGCGCACCAATGCAGGACATTGTCACCGTGGGAATCTCGACGCGCAGTGTCTCCTCCAGCTTCCACTAGCAGTTTTACGATCTCGACACGATTGGCAATTGCTCCAAGTGAGTTTCGACACGCTGCGATCATTGGAGTTGTGAGACTGTACTGCGTGTCAACGGCATTCACGGCGTCGACACAAATCTGCGGAGCGAAGTGGGTCTGCATGAAGCTAACTAAGAAGCGCACGACCTTCAGAGAGCCCACGTAGCTCGCTTCATGTAGCAGAGACTCGCCACCTCCACCGCCCTCGACGCCCATTCTAGTGTGACGGACAAAGTCTTTTCTTAAGAAGAATCGACTTTTGTCCTCCTCCAGGAACATCTTGACGGCTAGAGCGTCATCGGCTGCGATACTAACCCAGACGTTCACGAAAGACTCGCTCTTGGCGTAACTCTCCTCTGCTGGTTTTGACGATGACTGAGCGGTCGTCGCTACCTCTGGAGCTCTCGACTTTGGTCGTTGCTGCTTCTGCTTGTTCACTTCCACCACTTGATGCTGCTTGATCCAGAACTGCTCCGTCTCGTCCTTGATCTTCAACGCCTTCTGTAACCAAGGAGGGTATCGAGGAACTCCTTTGACCGAACGAACCAAAGATGTCGCCATTCTGTCTGTACTTACTATAAACACTAGAGTCGCCTTGACAATAAATTTAAATACGTGTTTTTATTTTGGAAGTGGATAAAGTCACACAATGGGATCCACTTCGAGTCCGGTAATTTAAAATAAAATCCCGAGAAGCAAAAATTCCGACAAAAAGGAAAAAAGGAAAACACCCCTTCCTTCCAGCTCCCCCCTCCTCCGTGTCACCCCCTCCCCCCCCTTTCACCCGCCCCCGACGATTTCCCGCCGTTCATTTCGAAACAGGACCAAATTCGACAAAATGGCGAGCGTCGCGTCGACTGGCTCGGGATCGGACGGCGAGAGTGAGCCTGCCGAGGCACGCTCTCCGGAGATACACGTTCCGGAATCGCGGAATACGTCTACGTGTGCTCCCCCGTTAGAGCAGCGCTGTTACACAACGTGGGGTGCATTTTTTTCGGCGTTGGAGCAGTACCAAGAGCAGACCCACCAAGTGTTCCGTAAGCATACCTCTACAAGTGCTGCATCTAGGAATGCTGAATTAGCGAAGCGAGGCAAGCTGACAGAGACGACAAGAATTCTTGATTCGTTCGACAAATACTACCGGCGACGTTGTTGCACGCATGGCTGGAGTCGGCCCAGTCGGTCTACTGGCAAGCGCTCCAACTACTTTGTCAAGTCGACGGGGTGCGAGGCTCAGATCTCGGTTACAGTGGTGTGGTCAGGAGATCATGGTTTTCAAGTGAAGATAACCCAGCAGAACACGACGCACAACCACGGCCTCGGACCAGACAAGTATAACAACCACCCTGCCAATCGACGTATAGATGATGAAGAGATGCTTGATTTTGTCGACGAGCTACAAGCTGCTGAAGCAAAAAAAGAAGTTGATACTTGCATTTTGGCGGCGTCGCTCAGGTACTAGTACTATCATTTGCTGTTTTTTATTGCTATAATATTGCTGAACTAATCTGTTTCATCTGGCAGGCAAGCAGGTAACCCTACGTGACGTGCACAACATGGTGCAGAAGCTAAAGGAACAACGCCGAGGATCTACTACTGTTGAAGCAAGGTTAGAGTCCAGCCTTAGAGACTTCTGCTTGCGAAAAGGAAACACGGCTACCATCTACGTGGATGATGACAAGTTGGCTCAAGTAATTACTTTCCAGACTCATCAAATGCGGCGCTTTTTTGAAGCTTTTCCTGAGGTTTTGATGATCGACGCGACTCACAACACTAACGACGCCAGATACAAGCTTATCAGTTTCATGATTCACGACGTTTTTGGCCATGTAAGAGCGCTTCACCTATCTTGTACGTGTCTGACCGTCTAATGTTGTTCGTTGTGTTTGTTTGCACGGTGACTACTTGTGACTATTGTAGCTTGTTGACAAATGTGTGACTTTTGTGGCGATTTACTGCGGCATTGTGGTGCTTTGTGATTTACGTGGTCGCGTTGTGGCATTTTGTGGTTTTGGTGTGGCATTTTGTGCCTTTGTGGTTTTTGTGTGACTTGTGGCACACAGGGCCAATACGTGCAGCATGCCCTTATGGAGAACGAGAGTGCAGAGTGTCTTTCCGATGCGATCACATCTTTCAAGTCATTTAACGCGACGTGGGATGACGTCCGTGTAATCATCGTCGATAAGAACTTCGGAGAAATTTCGTTACTGCAATCTGCTTTTCCGGCTGCGCGAATTCTCCTTTGTGTATTCCACGTTGTTAAGTATTTACGGACCGAGATGGCAAAGCGTGTGTACGGACTTCTTGATCGTGAAAAGATCGAAGATGCTGTTCATATGATGCTAAGTGCGCAAACGGAAGGCGAGTATAAAATTGGTCCAAAGTATTTGTACTATATCGTGGAAGGGAAACAAATTTTGAAAGATGAAGAAGTACCGGAGCCGGAGCACGCATTCTTACAATACTTTGACTCGAATTGGCACCAGTGCAGAGAAATGTGGAGCGGCTTTGGGCGTGTTGACGTCCCGCATTTGGGAAACACAACCAACAATCGCCTTGAAGCAGCATGGGGTCATTTAAAGGATGTGTTGAAGCCAACAATGATGCTGGACGAGTGTGTAGATACGCCAATGGTTTTGCAGTCGATAGCTGAACTTGGGAAGCTCAGAAGCAGAAGGAGAAACGACAACGGATGGTGGAGTCTCGTAAAGAAGCCAAGCAACTTGTTCAAGGAACACTAACACCTGTCGCAACGCTCAAGAATGTAGCACGAGTCCTTAACTCAAGCTTCAGCTACGAATCAGCAAACGAGTTTCTGTCAAGCGTAACCGTGATAGTTTTAGGTCCGAGGAAACAAGCGATGGCCAAGGTTGTTGCCCCACATGAGTAAGAGCCACATCGCTGAATCGTCTCGCAATACCCGCCGGACTTCGTGAGTACGTTGACCTTGACAAAGAGGCCGCAGCGATTGCCATACAGAAGATGATACTACCGCTGACGAGGCAGACGCCATTTGGTAAGGTTCTCAAACGATCTCTTTTGCTTTTTCGTGATGACGAATGGATAAATGATGACTGTCTGCTGCATGCAATGACAACAATTCAAGAAGAGCATGGCACAACAGGAATAATTTCACCCGCATTCTGTGGAACGGCTAACGTGGAGTCACAGTACACGATAATTGCCGCAACTCAGCCATTTCACGCAAGCAGCGAGTATGTACTACTCCCTATCCATCTCAACAACAATCATTGGTGTGGAGTAGTTTTTGACATTAAATCACAGACGCTTACCTTCTTCGACCCGATGCAAAAGGCGGATCAATATGTCGAGTGTGAAAATATTGTCAAGGATCTGTTTTCCGACACGACGGAGGCAATGATATCAAGACGTGAGCACCGCATGAAACAAAAAGACATCACCAACTGCGGTCCGCTAGTTCTACTGTTTTTCGAGTGCGCTGTGCGTAATTTAGCGCTGCCGACAACATTACCGAAGAACCTCTTGCGCTACATCAGATTGCGTTTTCTGATGAAGTCGCTTTTCGCCTAGGTTCAACTAGCGTTCAAGAACGTGTATGTGCCTTTCAAACGAGATATTGAATCAACCTTATGTGAAGCTGCATCTTATAAGTAGCCACGAATATGTCTGCATATCTAGGACTGAGGCGGCCGGCACGTCGTCTCCTTTAAGAACCATAAATGCTTTCGTCTTGCATGCGTGTTCGCAAGCTCGCGCGCCCGTTTTTCGATTCTCTTCATGACCATGCAGCATGCCGTGCTGCATGGGATAGCGTAAGCACTTCTCCACCATGTATCTGCTTTCATGAGTCCATCAGCAACCGCTACAAATCTCCGTGTCCGACCTAGAACCGCGTTGTTGGTACTGTTACCAAGACACGAGCTGCGCGGCCATGCCCATAAACATGTTCTTACGTCGACTCTGCGGTGGTCTTGACAGCGCTGTACGACTGGGTGATACCCACATTGCATGGCTCTCGGGCACTTGGTCACATGTTTAACGCTGGATAGCTTGTTCGAGACCTTCAGCACGGCGGCACAGCCTTCATGCAAAGCAAATCACGTCGTGACGAGGACGTCCCCTCCCCGTGCTACTTGCATCTCGGACGCTTGCTTCCATCGTCTTCATCCGTCATTCCTCGCGCGTCCGCAGCGCCCGCGTCGCCTCTCACTGCGGCAGAAATCTGACTGCGCGAAGTCTTGCGTACAGTCGTGCAACACGACCATTAGCACTACATTCGCAGCACATTTCGGTATGCGCAAGCACGCGGCACGGGCTATAATTATTAAAATATATCGGGTAATTTATTTTGATAGTGTGCCCTTTTGTGGCTTTGTGACGCTAGTATTCGCCACACAAGACGGAGTGCCGTGTCTGTGTCACTAATATGCGCTTAAGTACGAAGTCACACTCTTATTGTGTGACTCTAACACTGGTCTTTTATTTTTACTTGACCGCAATTTTGTCGTCGTCAAGGCTGGCCCTAATACGTGTCACAAGGAATTCGAAAAAAGTGTACTGATTGGATTAAACACTAGCGGTCCAAAAGAAAGAGACCACACCAAAATAAGTATCGTTTCGCAAAAAAAACTTTTCTCTCCTCAAATAGATATCGGATGCCACTACAGTACTACTGTAAGAGCTTAGATTCACAGCATCTAAGTCATTTAAAAATTAACAGCATTGTGAGTGGAGCATCGATACAACGGAGAATGATCACGGTGGCCGTGCAGGACGTCTTCCGTGGCATGAAGTATAAAAATTTGGTGATTGTCCCTTTTGATGACTTTCTGGCAGGATTACCGAGCTTTTCACGGCCTACAAGTGAGCTACACCACTGTATAATTGATCATGTTATGCGCTACGAAGATGAGCTGGCTGTAACATGGCATGAAATGCGGTATATCGTAGCTAAATACAAATCGCAATGCTACAAAGCTACAGCAGAAACATACACTTGTCACTATAAGATCCTGAAGTGTCAAGAAAGTGACGAAAAAATTAATTTCGAGCTAGGGGATCATACGATGGCCGACGATGCTCCACCGTCCCCCATTGCATCTAAGCTGACCGCCGAGATGAAGTCCTATCTAGATGTCAAGCTAAGTGACTCTCCGTCAATGGTAGCGCAGGCACTGTACGCATTCTTGTGTCGTGAGATAAAGGATGGGTGTATGGGCAGACCTACCCCGCTGCTTGCACAGGTCCAAAACTATCAGAAAGGATGGCGGCGTAAGAACCGACCGGATTGTATAAACACTGTGATGGATTTTTGCCATCAGCGCATGTACGGCAGCGAACGCTCACATTCTTGGCAACAGACCCAATTGCACTGCTAATATTGTGCGACACAAAAGTTGTGGACGGCATTGTGGAGCCTACTCTCAGCACGGGGTCTCAAGGCAACCCATTTCGCAGTGGTTTGACATGCAAGCGGCTTTTAAAGCGTTATGTTGAAGTTTAGCAGGACCCGTCTCTAACTACCCCACTGCACATGGACACAACCCACAACTGTGTGAAGCAGAAGTACCCTGTTTATGTATTGGGCTTTTCAGATTACAGTGGAGCCTTCTTGCCAATTGTGTACTGGTGCACATCTCAAAGGTGCAAAGTGGTACTTTTCCTGTTTAAAAAGAGTCATGTTGAAGAAATTTGGGGTGCCATTCTCGCCTGACTATGTCGCGGACAGCTTGTCCGACAAGGCCCAACAAAACGCCTGCCCTGCAGAGTTACCTGGAACTACCATTTTGATGCGTTGGGCCCACGTAACACAGAATGTGTTTAAACATGCACATGATGCAAAGCTTGATTTGATTTCGGTAAAGATGATTTTCAGGAATCTTTACGATTTGCACATTTCACGCGTTGAACAACAGTATCTTCGAAAGCGAAAATTAGTTCTGAGGTCATGGCGCGGCGCCGGTGAGCTAAGTCCTCGTTTTCGGCGTGTATCAAACCACAGCGCATGTATCATCAAAGATGAATTTTGTCGATAGAGCAATTGTGTCGAAAAGGTTGCTTGCTGCGTATCGAAAGACCGACAAAAAAAGTGTGGGATGCAGAAGTGGTACACCGTGTACAAGATTCGGTGCTCGTGCGTGTGGCTCCGAAGCTCGCTGGTTTTTTCCAGGACAGTACATTTGAGGACTCTGTACCACCTAAGTCAGCGTGCACGTACGAATCCAAAAACGACGCTAGGATCATGTGGGAGAACATGCCGACCGGTGGATGAATCGTAGATGCAGCCGGTCGCACATGCATGTGCCTCTGCTGGAACAAAGATGGGGTTTGCTGGGCTCCCTTGCCCTGGAATTCCCATGCAGTCGCAGAGATTCGAACGTCCGGCTCACCAGCAAAGATCGGTGCGGAGATCGGCTGGGGATGGAGAAGATGCAGCTGGTGTCATAGCGGAACCGGAAGCAGGTTTCCCAGTGTATGGTCCAGCGACGTTGGCTGATAGCCAGAACAACACGGATACCAGAGCTGATGCGCCGCGCAATACGAGTGCTGATTCGATTAGTGACGTCGTGGGTGTAGTTGTTGCTGCGGCCAAACAATGCGAAGAATCTTTCCTTCATTTGCTGCGTTTGGAGACTCCAGTCACTAATACTCTGCGTAGGTCCTATCGGTCTAGGACTCCCACGCGTAGAGCACGTGCGGCAAGGGCTCAAAACAAGCGTAGACGCAGGTGAAGGATCGGCCTTATGTTTCGAAAGAACAGGCTCCGCTCCGATCATTGTGAGCCGATCATACTCTATAGCTCTCTACGTAACATCTGCCAATCATTTTTCTCTTTACATCCATATATGCACTTGCACTGCAAGTTGCAGCTCTTGTTTGTTGCCACATTTAGGTTCTTGCGCCAGCAGGCCGAGAAGTACCTGAATACATGTGAGGCCGCATCTCCCAGAATAGGCCATATCAGACCCTACGTCTACTCTCTTCATGAACTATGACGCTGCAGTTCAGACTGTCAAGCCTCGAGCGTCTCGTCCTGGCTTTCGTAAGCGAAGGTTCAACACGTCATGGTGTAATCCAGTCGTGGGAAGGGGGCAAAGGAGCCAACGTCCAGCTCAATCTACTTATGCTTCCAGCAGCAAACACGCACGGAACTCAGCGCCCTCTTCGTCACCGCCTCCTCCTGTCAATACCAACACAGTAATGCCCCGTCGAGCGAATCTGAGCGATCCGAATCCTTTCTACAACGACATTGCGCCGTTGTACGCCAAGTTCCTCAACTCAACAGACGTCAAGAGGGTTTTGAAGCAGTAGCAACGATTTTTTACTAGTTGCATTTAGCAGTTGGTTGCTGGTAAAGTCCGAGTGTAAGGATTCCATGGCAAGGTCTTAGGAGAGACGAATGGGAACTTGCCACCGCAGAACTCTACGACGGATAGAAGCTTCATTGCGCCAATGCTGTCCACGTCGAAGTACACGAAGATGTGGATCACTTCCTTGTCGGTCATCAGCCCGCGAACGGCGCTGTTGGCAGGGAGAGCAGCTTCTGCTGCGACGAACGCCGTGCGGAAGTCGTGCAGTCCGATGTATTCGCGCTCTTCCTCCTGTTGTGGCTGGTCTGCTCTGGCGTCCGATCCGTGTCTTAGCGTGTCGAGAAGACGTCGAGTCGTATCGGGATCTCCCTTAAGCAGAGTCAGCAGCCCCCTCAACGCTGAGCGTTGGTGCACACTGGTCGATTCTTTCATCGTGAATGGCACCAATCTCGGTAGCTTCTCCGTGGCGCTTGGTCGGGTCGTTGAGCTCGTTTGTGAATGTGCTGGACCGACCAAAGGCGTTTCTCCCGTCCGAGACAGTCGTGGCAAAGTTCAAGCCACGGATTCACCGCTTACAAGTACCTGGTGACAGTCGTGCTCTGTACTAGATCCGGTTTCATTTGGTCGATGCTGTCAGTCTGTGCCTTCGTCAAATGCTAATATTTGGGTCCACATGACGAGCCAGAGAGCCATCGCGTCCTCGAGGAATCGGCTCCTTGACTAGCGCCGACGTGTCCACCGGTAGGTACGAACTCGCTATCGTCGTGAGTGCTGCTTCGTGGCAATCGAGTTGTTGCTCCTCTCGTTCGCGTGCACGCTGCTTACTGTGAAGACGCTGGGCAGTCTCAGCTAAGAGCTGGCCACGAAGAAATTTTCGAGGTCCAGACCCTGGCTTAGCTGCCGCGTAGCCGGCGTACCGGTGGCTCGCTCGGAGTGTAGTTTCGAACAGAGGTGATGTGATCTCGCTGGCATGACTGCTGCAAGTGATCGTTGCAGGTTTATCATCCAGGAGGACACGCTCGTATGTCGGCTCGATCCAAGACTCCTTTCGATCATGACATCCACAAAGAGCAGCAATTTAAAAGCCCACAGCTGAGAGGCTGAGAGCGATAAGAAAACTACTTTCCTGGTGCGAAGTAAGGTGCTGGTACCTTTCGACTGGCGTTGCCGGTCTTGTCACGGAGAGCGTCTTCCTCGACCCAGCTGCCCACTAGAGAAGCCTTATTGTTCCTCACGTTGTACGTCGTTGGTAGGGACATGGCTGTGGCGATCGATCGGACTACACACAGCAGTGGTTGTAACTACTATGATCTCCACCACGTGCCAGCTAATTGGAGCAAAAGTGTCGATTAAGAAAACGGGGTTCTCTTTAAATAACTTGACAAGTCTGCTCGTCACCGTCATTTTTCTTTAATCTACAACTTTAGTTTGATCGCTCTTCAAAATCTATCATGTCCACAGCAAACGTGACACGAAAGTGGCGGATTTCGGAGACCCATGCGGAGCTGCCAATTAAGAATCACAAGTATGTGAAAAACAGCACCGATATGTACATGGTCAATAAGCGCATCGACAAAATTGCGAACTTCGATGCTTTCGTCAACCTCGAGGTGCTCTGGATCAATGACAACCCGGTATGTCATCTGTGCAGTTGGTTTTCCATTAAGATCCTTTCTTTGACGACCTGCCAGATTCAGGAACTGGACGGACTAAGCGGTTGTTTCTGTCTCAAGCACTCTACGACCACAACAACTGCATCCGGTACGTCAAAAGTGCGCCTTGTCGACCTGCTCGCCTCGATAAACAAGTCTGCTTCTGGTCCTTTAAACAGCTCGCTTAAAAATTCCCGCAGCTACTACGACCGCAAGGCGTGTGCCGAGTTCATTAAACGCTTCAAGGTGGACCAGGCGATATGGAGGTGCAGGACGTACTCGACTGGCTCAAGATTGACATTGGACGCGACATTAAGCTCATGGAGAAGTGGCTCGACTCAAGCCGCAATGAGCGTAAGGAAATCGAGAGCGTCAATGACAAGGGTAAGGAGATCAGCTGGGACGAAGACCCAGTTGATCCACTGGATCGTATTCCTGCACTCAAGGAGATTCAAAATAAGATGAATCGTCAGAACGGTTCGTCTTCCAACCACAAGGGCGGCAACAATGAGGCTAAGTTGGCTGACGCTGTACACCCGTAGGAGCAGTAAGCTCAAGAAGAACATCTCGGAGATCGACTCCAGACTACTCAAGGACACCAGCGTGACTGTCCACTCGGCTGCGAGCGAGGATGCCGTGGTGAATGCCACGCCGGCGGAGGAAGTGAAGGCCGAAAAGGAAGAGGAGGCTGCCGCCTCGACCGAGGAAGAGTTATGATAGCTCCAATACTCCGTCCAACGCATCGATCTCCTCACCTTCTTTATTCAAACCATCCTATTCTTTTGCATTTTTGTATCGTATAATCCAGGTCGTGGTCGTCCCCTTTGTTGCTCGTTTGGTTTGCGGTACATCGCGTAAATTGTAGTCTTGATACGTCTCGGTGGGGTTATTGTAGCGTATGATTGGATCTGCAGTAAGATATAAGTCATTGACGACGAAGAAAGACTGACCATGTTGGCCACAACCTCCACTCCGTCCCCCATCTTGTAGTTATTGTCGGCTGCAACGACGACCGTGATGCAGCAAAGAGCAGCTTCATCCAATGTTATCGAATGAAGTTATTCGAGCCGAATTGCCACCGACAATTGAACCTATAAAACCAGTTCAGCCACACATGGACAATGCTTCCATACAATACATGAACATTAAATGCGCAAATGCTGTTCTTCAGCGGTTGAAGATAGCGACGTTTTTTTCCGTTCTAAGGTTTAGCTTGGGACCATACAGTATAAGTGCCATTACCAGTGTAGTTGCGATTGTATGACACTGTGCATACTCTGTGAACGTAGTGTTTTTATCGTTTGTGTTGGTGTGAAGTTCCTTCACACCTTGCATGTGTTCGTTTCTAAAGCGAAACACAACCATACCGATGGTGCGTGCAATCCGCCACTATTTTGGTCCCCCCCCATCGCTGGATTATTTATACATTTACGTGTGTCCAGTCACTGTATTAGTTTTTTGGTCTGCTCCTCATGTAGGATGTGTACATTGTTTAATCGGTTTGATCGTAGAAACACGTACGTACCCGAATTATGCAATACAGCTACACGATTCATGCGTCGCCTAGCTCACACTTATAGCATATTGATCGAATACGATAGTTCACTGAAGAAGGAGTCAATGGTGCCCTCCATCGAGAACATTATGAGCCACTCCGATCTGCTCCAGCTGCTAGTGCTGATGATTGGAACGCTAGGGAACATGCTTTTGATTTAACCGGTCACCATTGCAATAAGACGAGTTTTACTTACTGTTACGAACAATATTTATTCTGTTTGACATTGAAATACACAAGAATCGCTCTCGCGCAGCTGCCGCCCCAACCAGTGGCCCAAGGCTTGGTCGATAGGTCCACCAATCAGCGATCTTGGTCTATTCTCACATATTTCTCTTTCGTGTAAAGGCAAAGCCGCATTTGCTAAGAAGCCTTCCCAGGAGCCGGCAAACTGTACTTAATATTGAATCACATCTCTCCGATACACTCCAAAGATGGGTCGAGCGTCAGCAAACGGGGGCGCATGTGTGTAAGATTAGTTTCCGCCATTATTGAACGATCTCACAAAGCCTCGTTGGAGCGGCACACTGTCCGCCATTGGTTTCGAAGCGGGGTTTAAGTGGCTGCAGAATGTTAGATCAGAGCTACCAGCTACAGAGCAAGAGTGGTAGCTGGAATCCACTGCGAGACGACCAGTCTATAAGTGAAATACCTGACAGCGAAAACGCCTCAGTCGCTGAATAGACTCGTCAAAACAAACCTGACACGAAAAATACTGTTCCATGTGGCAATATAAAAACTTCCAAAGCTTTTTGACGTCGAACATACCCAACAATATACCACGTACATCTCGGTAGTCACTCGTTTGACAATTGCCACCGTAGCAGATCCACCTACATGGCCACTTGCGGAGGGTTCTTTTCGCGGTAAAAAAATTGTAAGCCAACGATGCAACAATCGAGGACGTGACGCATCAGGAACAAAATCGGGTCAATGTTAAAAAGGAGTGCGCAGGATGCTTGCGTTCATAGTCGTTTGTGTAGGCAAACGACAGTCTTGAGAGACTTAGTCCACAGCTGCTTGTGTGAATTACTGTCGACCAGGACTGCTCGCACTTATAAAGCAATATTTTCAAGAAACTTAGGCAAGTCTATTCTGCTCTAGTGTGTACACCACCATTGTTCACCGTGCTATTCCATGCGATGCACAAAACGACTTAAAGTGACCCGATAGGTATACTCTGTCATTGTCACTGATAAACTAATGCAGGGGACGTATGCTTGTTCTCTATCGCGGTCTTGTTCTGACCGATATATTCAAAGTACTCCGAGCAGCGAGACAGTATGTAATGTTCAGAATAAGCATTAGCAAACAAGAGGACGTAGCGCTTTCTGTGTCTCAACTGGACAGTAGTTATCACTTTGAACCACGTTATGACTTATTTAAGCAATACCAATGATCGTATGGGACGGGGTCACACAGCACCTTGCGCTAGAGGAAGTCGGCTTCCGAGAGTATACAAACTCTCCGTGAACGGTAGTTCACAGGCCTCGTTTGACGTCAATGTGCTTGTATAAAACCAGTAGCGCCCAGCACATGCCGTTTCGCGAGTCAATTGACATCTCCTTCGACAACGCCTCCTTCGTGGTGTCAGGATTCTGGTGCTGCGCGATCTCCAGCCATTCGGGCATTTGTAGCCACTGTTGTATGCACGAGTTGCATGTAGGATTTATTACAGCACCTGTATTAGAAGTAAATACGTGCTCATTAGCGTTCCATGAAAATAAATAAGGCACAATTACCTCTCGTTCAGCGCGGTGTCAGCCTCTTCATAAACACCAAAAGCGCACATGTGATCGCCAAGTTTTCCGCACACAGTACAAGGCTCTGTCCTTAGCTCGTCGCCTTCCTGGCAGCCCGCTACCCCGCTACCCATTTTTTGTTTTCCGATAGCTCGAGTTCAGGTATGCCGGTGAAATAAATTGCGAGTGGTGAAGGGAAGCCACACGATTTCAAATTGCCAGCTCGGTACTAATATTAATCCTACCGAAAAAAGTGGCAGTAGTATTACCCAAGCTTACTACTTTTGAAAATACTACCAACCCCTGCTCACGATGCTCCTGTGGGCTCCGTGGGAGGGCACACGCCAGTGCCCAGCGAGCACGACGACGACAGCGTGCACTCGCTCTCTAGTGACCACGGTGATCACAGTCCCAGGACGCCTGCGCGCTCTGAGAGTTCTGCCGTCAGGGCTAAGGGCACTTCCAAAGCTGGCGACGACGAGGAGGAGAAACCTCGCAAACATCCCTTGCTTGCTGAGGGTCTTGCGCGTGCTAAGACCCCAAAGCCAAAGCCGCCAAGCCCTCTAAGAAGCGTACGGCTTCGAAGTCTCCACTTCGCGAGGAGAAGGAGACTGGGTACTCCTATCGGAGCGTCTTCGGTTCCTCAGATGAAGCGGACGAGAAGGAGGAGGAGGGTGCTATTCATGAGCCCCGGGAGATCACAAACGACCTCGACCAGCAGCAGGAGGACTTCCAAGCTGTCCAGCGCACGCATGGGGGTTCAGTGGTGGCACCCGTCAACCAGGGAGCTACCATCAACTCAAGAGGTTATTTGCCTCCCGAGGAGAGCTCTGGGGTTGCCCTCTTCCTGGAAATCCTCGTCGCTCCTCGTGGCCTTGCCGGCAGCCACACGTCTAAGGCCTTTTACGAACGTGCCCTGGCCTAGAAGGAGCGGTTGTTCGTCGCCAACTTGGAAAGGGCCCGGTGCGTAATTAAAAGCCCGAGAACCGGGGTGGTTTCTACCCGCTCTGTGGCTACCCTTGGGTTCTTCCCGGGAACTGTCCCGACTGGAACTCGTGTGAGGACTCGTGCTGGGCCTGGGTGGAGCCACTCAAGTACTCACCCTCGGAGTTACGGGAACTCCATGAGGCCAGCTGCTGTCCCGCATCCTGGACCAGCGTGACCTTCGTGTCCGGTTCGATCACTTGGTCAGCAAGCGCATGCTGCCAAAGGATATTCTGAAGCGCGTGGCTTCTAGCGCTCACGATGAGCGCGGGTACGAAGTGCCGTCAATGTCCGTACCCCGTTTGGGCAAGAAGAACAACCGGACT